AGGCTTTATAGGTCTTCATTCGAAATGCCATTTTCATATAAACATGAAAAAAGTCGTGGCCTTGCAAGCAGATGCAAGGATGTGTAGCACATCCTTTGTGCATTGTGTTTAATAGTGGTTAAACGCGTAGATGAATCACAGAGGTTGTTTTTAAGCACGCCTCTTCTACTTTTAAACAACAGTAGTATTCTAACTGGGTTAAAACGTGGCATATATATGTACATATATATTTCAAATAGCAGGCGTTTTGATAGTTATCATTAGCTCTTTAGCTGACTTCGGGTTTCACAGAGAGGAGGAACATCAAAGTGAAAAAAAGTCGAGAGGGGGAGTAGAAGAATGAATGACAGATGTAAAATCGACAGACAGACACAAGGTAGGGAAATGGTTAGATGAGTACTGTGAACGTGGTCGAATATGACATACAGTTGTGCCATGGTAGTTTGAATTCAGAAGTCAACTGCCGGTTAATAGACTTTTTGCCGTATGAGTATACGTTAACCAGGATGCACCACGTGGAGGTAAGTCCATCGTACACCCCACGTGGCATATACAATTTCGAAAGCGCTAACCAACTCAACCTGATGAAAAGCTGTTTCATTGGGGCAACTTTTTCACCTTATTTAAGTTTGTCTTCTGATTAATTAGTTAAATTCAGAGAAAAATGAAAAAAATTATTTAATTTTTCATTGATTAATGAAGAATTCTCGTTAGTCTGCCTTATAATTAATGCTTCCCTACTCACTGCACCCTCAGGTTACTTGGGGAACCAATTCAAGGATAGTAATATCACTTAAGGTGATCTGAGGAAGTTTACACTGAATTTCGAATCTCATAATCGAAAGTTTGCACTCAATTTACGTTGCCTTTTAAGTTCAGCTAATAACTTGAATCTAAATAATATTTAGCAATTAGGCTTCATACCTCTTGTTAGCATTTGCAATTCTCTTCTTGACTTCAAAGGAAAGCGAAAGAATATCATTAAAAAAACTGGAAGGAACATAACGCGAGGTTTAATTTGGAGTTACTTACAAATAGGCAGATTTTTAACTGCTTTGAACTCAATTACAGAACTCATGGCTATTGGTTTTGCATGACTATTGTTTACGGTTAAAGTATGTACTCCTGAAACTAAGTGCCACCACCTTTTCAATGGGCTCATTGGTTTTCTTCGAATCATTCCCCATTCACACTGTCGATTTAGACGTTACGACCACATTGTTCTAACTGTTCGAAAAGGTCTAAGACCAGTTGGTATACAGTCGGTAGCTTTCCGCGCGATTCATGTAAGTCAGCATGTGAATGGGAATTAGACCGCAAACTTTTCTTGAAAGTGTCGAAACTTACTGACATTAAACCATACATTCAATAAAGGTACTATCAAGGGATGTGGAGAAAGCATCTAGTGTACTTTATAACGCAACATTCCTTTAGAATTAGTCAGTGCGAATCAAGGCATTCTGAACAAATATTATCAGAGAATAAGTATGAAGGATCTATTTCCGCATTCTCTTTTATCGTAGACTTTGCAGTCATCTTGGTGACACAGCAATTGAAGCCTTTAAGTGTTGGATGAAATATCTAATTTCACTTTTATTTCAGTAGGAGAATTGCACACAATATAACCTTGCCCTCCAAAGTTAAAAAAACCGACGACTTTTTTCATACATATATTTTACTTGCCCCAGACTTCAGCAGACCAAACCGATTTGTATCTCCCGCCGAAATGTCGTAATTTAGGGTCGCAATTTATCATGATGCTGGAGTTCAAGTTAGGTCAAGATGGTTTGGGCAGAAAATAGGGAAATTTTATGAATCGTGGCCGAGTGTACGTGGTGTTATGGCGAAAGCATTTCGTTTGAAAAAGCTTATAGCCAATCAAGTGCTTAATTAGCGCAAAGTTTAATTCCTAACCGCGCAACTTGAGGTCATCTGACGGTCTGCATTTCATCTGTGTGGATTTTTTGCCAAAAAGGGCTTACACAAATATAATTCGGCCACTGGCAACAAGATGTTGATACAAATAATGCCGCCAGATAAAAGCTTTCTAATCCAAGCAAACACAAATATTGTGGATAGGCATTAAATAACATTAATTAATAACGTAAGCTTGTTTCAGCCTGTTATATTGGCCATGAGGATTGTTAAAACCTCGTTGGCTTATAATTACCAACGACTCTGTGACTCAGAAGGTGGAAATAGTACCAAAATCCGATCTCAATAAAATGAATCAGAATTGAACTCTGAAATGTGAGAGTAGGGAAAAGGCGAACGCAACCCGCTAAAAATTGTAATTTTCACACGCTTGATGTGATAGCTAAGCTGCAAACAAATACTCCTAGCAAATGTCAAGGAATACAACTTCAAAGGAGAAAGTAACCCTAACCATAATCTTAACTATGTGAAAGTCTTGGTTCCAAAATGCCCTTAAGATGTGGTCGTTGGAAATGACTTAGGTTACTACTATGAAAAAAGCATTTAAAGGGCCTGAAAAGTAAGTCATCGTGAGGCTTCTCAAAAATTGCCGGCATATCTAATGAGTCGACTTCTCATACGTACCTAGATTTCAGACATGAAACGATTTACGATCGTGTCGCTTTTCCAGGACGCCAATACTGTAGGCTAATTGAGAAATAAGAAAATAAAATTAAGCATAGCTTGTATGAATAAAATGAACCAAGTAGAACAGTAGTGGAGGGCATGGTTTATAGGTGTTGTCAATGCTATTTAAATACTGCCAGCATAAAAGCCACATTTGGGGTTCTAAACTTTCTGAAGAAAAATGAAATCAAGTACCAACAAATGAATCCTCATGTTTAAGAGCCGGTCAATAAGCATAAGAATTAGTTGTAATCCCGAGATCAATTATGAAATTTAATTCATTGAACGTGATGTAGCCATCGAGTAATAACTGTGCAACCCGTAACCAAAAATCCAATGAAATAGGGTTACTTTTTACTTTGGCATAGCGCTTAATATTTATTCAATACCTTCTGAAACCATTGAAATCACTTTCACCACTCCCACTTTACTCACCTTACCTTTTTCTCAACCTTTGTGTGTATCTCATTTACATCCGGGAATCACTCTACTGTTCCCCTCCCCACTTTTGTGGCTTTGTCTGTTCTTCCCCTCTGTGAAGCCCGAAGTCAACTAAGGGGGTAATGATAACTATCAAAACGCCTGCCAGTTGATATAAATAAATAAAATATTACTATAGACAACAGTAATGCAAATGCCAAAGGTAGCTAATACTTCATGGCCAATGAGAGGGCAAACTAAAGTCTCCTGGAACAGTCATCCTCTATCAATTAGTCTTGATCAGCAAGCTGAAACATCCTCTTCACTGGCCTCATTCCCAGGTAATTATTAGTGAAGTACATCTTGAGGAAAATTAATTGAGCTTTGTAGTGTTTAAACCCGGCTTGTTAGTCTCATCTTGAGACAAATAAATCAAAACGACATTTCCAATAATTATATTAAATCCGAATATAACGATCATGAGTTCGTTAAGCCACCCAGAGGTCATGCAAGTTGAATTTTGGAACGTTGCAATATTGCAAGTTGAAGATAATCCATTTTGAGGAGGTTAACAACTTAATGCTTTTACAATTCCGGACTTAATCACATACCCTAATCAAATCTTTGTTTAATTGCCCTTGTTTAGATGCTACTCCTTGATTAAAACCACCTTACAATTGACCCAACTTTATTAACCTGTTTTAATGGAACAATAAAGGATATTAATACAACATTCCACCTACTAACACGAACATGAGGCTATGACTTTTATGCCAATCTGCTTGAGTTTTTTCCTATTGGCTCAAACTAAAACAACCTTGTAAACTATAAAAAGCTTCAGCAGGTAGTGAAGCCCATCCCCAACCCCAGTGTAAAAATAAATTATGTAATAAATTTTGGCAGAAATTCACCATATTACTTTAACTCTGTAAGTAGCCATAGTAGATAGACGATAGAGATATGTAACAAACATTGGCATCTCTAGTTGGGATCATGTGTTGATAAGTGAAGCGCAGAAAACCGCATTTGCTAAACCAAAAATTTAGATTATCAACTCAAAATACTATCGCAAGTTTGAAAAAATTTAATAGTAGGCAGTGGAATTCGAAAAATATATGTCGACTTTAGTTATTTTATAATTATATTAATGGATCGTTTGTAGATTTCAAGATGATTATTAAACTTCATTTAGAGTTTAAATGAAATTTGTGTGCCATTTTCCAATTTTTTTACAAGACCAAAACTGGAGTATCGGAATTTTTATACCATAAAAGTGCAACAGACTTGATAGGGAAACATGTCCACAAAAGACGGAAATATGGCATAGTTGTAGCTTAAGTATTGAAGTATTGTGGAATGCACAACGCTACTACAGAATACTTCCGTTACCTAGCGTTAGATTTGTGTACTTTACTCTCCGACATAAGCAAAATTTAACTTATCAGTTAAAAAGTTAAAAAAGACTCAAGTTAGACCAATTTCCTCTATCTTTCTTTGGCGCCTTCTCAACATGAGTCAGCCTTTCCATAACCTAAACATTACGTTTTGGAACAAGCTAGATTAACTAGAGATCCTCATAAGCCTTGATTCCAAAAAGTAGTTCTTTGTTAACAGAGATTAAATCTTGTCCTCTTGAATATTACGTCATTCATTTGGTCAATTATTGGTATTTATGTAAAGCCAATTAGAGTAATAGATATAAGTTCGAATTGCGATTGAATTGAACAAAATTTCAGTCTTGGAGATCCCTGACCCATCTCATAGGAAAGCAAACAGTTCAACTCTAATTTGTCCAAGAACTAGTTGAAGGTTATATTGATGCAGTTCAGAGTGGCACGTGAAAAATAATGCTTTAAATTAAAAGAGACCGAAAATTGTTGTTGCAAACTAGGGCATAGGCAAATATTGATCGGATCCAGATGTCTTAAACTTTCAGGCGGGGTTGAAAAAGGGGGCCACACGCTGTAGCAGAAAAGACAATGCAAGAGGAGAGCAAGTACATTTCGCAACTGCTCAATCTGAAAGGTCGCGGTATGGAATTGAGTAAAAAAGACTACGACACTTTTGTTAAACATCTTTGCAACAAAACTATATCTGCTGTTCAACTTGGTGAGTAAAATAAGCTAATTTTAAAATAACTACACACACACACACTCACACACACAAAATGGCTGCATTTAGTAATTTAGTGTCTTTAAAAGTGCTCTTCAATTCTAAAAATTTGGGATAAAACAGTGAGATCAATTTTGCACTTAACCTCCAGCTTGATTTGAAATAGGAAGTTAGAGCATAACAAATTTGGAACAGTTCCTTGGATGAATTAAAATATTAGAAAAAATAAGCTTATTTAATGTCCTTCGTGGACACAGTCGGGGAATTGGCGACAAGACATACCTCAATATTAATATTATTATACATAAAATAATTAAAAAACACCTATGGTCCGTAGTTCTGGCACATTACAGACTTTGGAGTGACGAGAGAGTTAAGTGAAAATGACGATATAAAAGACCCTAATATCATCAAAATTCTGATTTTTTCCGAATGCCAGTTTTTACTTAAGGGGTTTAATTCGTTGCAGAATGTTTAGATTTCAGCGCCTCGAAATTCCTTTGGCCAGCTTTGGCCTCGAAGTATACTCAACGGTTCTGAATAAAATGATTTTCTAAAACTTAATTAGGTGCTTTCCTGATGGCCGTATTCACGAGAGGCATGACGCCAGATGAGACGGCCAATTTGACATCTGCCATGGTCAATAACAGTGAAAAGATGCGATGGAGTGACCAGAAGTGGGCCCAATTCGTTGTTGACAAGCAGAGCACTGGCGGGGTTGGCGATAAGACAAGCCACATTCTCGGCCCAATGATTGCTGCCTGTGGTGGAAAGGTTAGAGGAATGTGACTTTTAGTTGACTGATCTGACCTACGCTATGTTAGAAATTCAAATGAGCAAATCAGTAGACAAATAACAATTATCAGATTAAAATAACACAAATCTCGGAAGCTAGGAAACGTAAAGAATTCAAACATGTTAGAATGGCTCTATCCTCTTAGAGACCAAATAATAGCCCAACAGGTTAAAACGGCCTTTCATAAAATCTGAAGGCCAAGATCTGAGCTAGAACGCCAGGATTGAGCGATCGGAGGTGAAAGAGGGAAGAAGAGATAGTGAAGTTGAGGGTGTGTGCTCTCAACGTGTAAACAAGGTGTACTTGTAGGGGGAGTTTGGTTTTGTGGCCTTTGTGAGTCGCTCTCTGGATGAATAGTAAACAAGCAACCCTGCGCGTACTACATGAAATAGTTTCATTCATAATGTTATCATGTGAGCTACATTCCACCCGGCAAGCATGAATCAATGAACCAAGATAGGTCTAAGTGGATGAAATGCAGGCAATGAAGCCAGGGTGACGGAAATCTTACATAAGTTGAGTTATGCAGCTTGCAGGTCCTAATATTCGAATTTCATGAAACGACTTTCATAATATTCATGATATCCAAAGCTACTTGTTTTATTTCGGTGAGTTGTTTTGTCACCTCTATTTTGACAACAGTGTTCACTAGAGTTAATTCTTGGCGAACCACGGGTGATATAATTATTGACATTATAGTAAGAGTATGTCACGAATTGCAAATCAAAAGGAGATCACTAGTACCTGTTGACATAGAACTGCAAATCAGTAAACTATCATTCAAGATTAATCAGGAATCCATTTATTTATCAAAGGTACCTATGATCAGTGGCCGTGGTCTAGGTATCGCCGGTGGAACAATTGACAAGCTCGAATCGATTGAAGGTTATTCACCAAACGTTGACATGAAACAGCTCAAATCTCTTATCAACGATGCCGGTTTCTTCATAGTGGGTCAAAATGAAAGAATGATACCTGCTGACAGACCACTTTACAAGTATCGAGATGTTACTGGGACCGTTGCCTCAATTCCCTTGATAACCGGTGTGCTACTAAAACTAATATCAAGCGTGGAACAATTTTTAGGCAAAATGCAACTTATTTTGGTGGCATTTTTTAGGTTCAATTCTATCAAGGAAACTGTGTGAAGGTCTACGCGGCTTGGTGATGGATATCAAATTGGGGATTGGTGCTCTTTTTCAAAATTTAAATGAAGTTAGACACTTGGCTAGAACCATGGTATGTTATGCCCTTCATAAATGATGACAGATGGATTGACTCATGTCTCCTTTATAGATTAGCGTTGGTGAGAAGATGGATCTCAAGGTTGTTGCAGTAGTATCCTCAATGGACCAACCTCTTGGTCAATGTAGTGGAAATGCTCTCGAAATGGCTGAAGTTTTTTCAATTCTTTCGGGTGGACCTTTTGAGGGTCGGCTGAAAGATGTGGTTCTTACTTTAGGTAATAATAGTCCCTTTTTTGTTTTCTTGGGTTTTGAAAAATTTGGACATTAGCGAGATAAGTTACACTTCAACTAGTGTTAAACGAAGACTAAATAGGCCTCCATTTTAGAAGAGAAGTCGTCAGAGTTGATTGGGTCAAGGTGGAATCAGTTGAAGAAAATAGTGATGCAAACCTGCTTAAGTTAGCGACGAAAGTTAGGCCCTTTTTTAGGATTTAAGGTATTATGACATGAGTAAAATATATCCATCAAATCATCTATTGCTTCTGTTACATCTTGTAAGAGCATCTCTGCACTGTCTTTAATTACCACCTTAAGTAGCCGTTTAGATCAATTGCTAAAGAATCTATAGTTACCATCATATTGAATACTGGTGCTGAACACTGCCTTCGTCAACATTGACGAGCCAACCGCTCACGGGAAACCACTATATACTTGCTGGTTAGCTTTATTACATCATTACGTCCCACAATGATCACATTGTCGGCCAATAATACTAGATCCTATTATTCCCATTCCCTCTCATATTTGGCTATGAAAATTCTGAGCATATCAGTTTCAAATTCCATTATGACGGTATTCTCAAATATTGCAGGCCACAATATGCTATCAGCAGCAACCATTGAGAGTGATGCAACAAAGGCGTCAAGGATGATGCTCCAGGTTCTCAATAATGGAAAAGTTCGAGAAGCAATGGCTAAAATGCTTGTGGGTCAGGGTGTGAGTTCTGAGTTAGCAGAAAAACTCTGCTCGCCACCACCTGAAGAATGTCCCGATGCCATTGACTACTATCTAGAGACAATGGGAAAAATGGCAGATGTGAGAACTCCCATGAAGGCTCCTAAAACAGGTAAGAAGTGAGGACGAGCATAAAATAGTATTGTTGAAATAACGACACTTTCAGATGCAAATAATTGAGAGGTAAGGGAAACTTTTCTAAACGTTTTAGATTAGAAAATTCATAGCCATATCGTATACTTTAAAAGTTATGAAGTACAATATGAATTGCTCAAATTATAGGGTTCGTTAAAAGTTAAGTTTGAAATGTAATTCGTAAGGCAAGTTGCTCTTCAGGTAATTATTCCAACACCATGTGAAAGTGCATTTGCAATAGATGGACTGAAACACGAATTTGACAAAAGTTATTATTTTCTGTCCTCTCTTTTGAACAAAATCCTTCCATTTACAAAGATTCAAATGTTTAATACAATTGCATAATTGATTTCATTTCAAGGTTATATAAGTGAAATTGATGCTAGGGCGGTCGGACAGGTTGTCTGGCGCCTTGGCGCTGGTCGCGACAAGGAAGACGATTCAATCGATCACACTGTTGGAGTTCGTCTGCTGAAAAAGGTTGGAGATTATATCGAAAAAGGTGAGATATGCATCGCTATTGAAAAAAGTGGCTACAGTCTTGAAGTCACTTCTGGCAACTTTATAATTTACCAATTTTCCTCGAGCAGGATAGGAGATAGGGCAACTGGTGCATGAGCTAAAAGATTAGTTCATTGATAGAAAGAAAAGCAACGAAAGAAAAATGAAAAAATACGATGAGCGTCACCAGGGGAAAATTATTAGTTATCGTGCCATAACGTCACAGCATAATTTTAATGCCTCGCTGAGGTTATATTTCATTTTGATTTAATGTACAATTTGAAGACCCACCAACTTAACTAAGCGCGGTGTTGCTGTCATAACAAAAGTAAGTGAATCGATGGTATAATACAGTACAGGGGACACGCCAAATGAAAAATAGCTAATTATTATTATTACTTTGCTACTGGAGTATTTATTTATTTATATCAAATGGCAGGCGTTTTGATAGTTATCAGTTAACAGAGGGGAAGGAGCATCAACGTGAAAAAAATGTTGAAAGGGCGGGGGAAAGAAACAGAACAGTGTTTCAGAGATGCAAAAGAGACAGTCACAAAGGTAGAAAAAAGGTGAGGTAAGTAGTGTGGAAGTAGTCGAATGACTTACAGTGAAGTGATGGTAGATTGAAGTCAGAAGTCAACTGCCGGTCTATTGAATTTTTTTGCTGTATGAGTATGCGTCGCCCAGGGTGCACCACGTGGAGGTAAGTCTATCGCTCGCCCCATTTAAGCGAACATTGCACACCCCGAGTTTAAAATATTAAATCCTACCTTACCTCCCTCCCTTTTCCTGATAGGTAGGGAAAAGGTTAGATGAGTACTATAGAAGTTTACGAATATGACATATAGTGGGTGATGGTAGTTTGAAGTCAGAAGTCAACTGCCGGTGTGAGTACTGTGAAAATGATCGAATATGACATGGAGTCAGCGAGTACTGTGGAAGTAGTCGAATATGACATACAGTGGGGCGAGTGCTGTTGAAGGGGTTGAATATGACAAGCAGTCGGGCTGATTGGTAGTTTGAAGTGAGAAGTCAACTGCCGGTTGATAGACGTAGTTTGAAGTCAGAAGTCAACTGCCGGTTGATAGACTTGTTAGTTTGAAGTGAGAAGTCAACTGCCAGTTAATAGACTTGTACCGTTAAAGTAATAGAGTGGGGTGATGGTAGTTTGAAGTCAGAAGTCAACTGCCGATCAATAGACTTTTTGCAAGTCAGAAGTCAACTGCCGATCAATAGACTTTTTTGTCTTTGAAGCTAGTAGTCGAATTTGACATACAGTGGGGTGATTGTAGTTTGAAGTCATGTCAAATGCCGGTTAATAGACTTTTTTGCCGTATGAGAATGTAGGACATATAGGGGGGTCATGGTAGTTTGAAGTGAGAAGAAAACTGCCGGTTAATAGACTTTTTTGCCGTATGCGGAGAAGTCAACTACCAGTTAATAGACTTTGCCGTATGAATATACGTTGCCCAGGGTGCACCACGTGGAGGTAAGTCTATTGAAAAACGAATGCCGAGTGATAGACTTTTTCGCCGTATGAGTATGCGTTGCCCAGGGTGCACCACGTGGAGGTAAGTCTATCGTACACTCCCACGCCACTGGAGTATAGTTGTTTCGAAAATAGTAAAACTATGGTAATTTTGATACTTACAATTAATCAGGCATATGAAATACTAAGATATCTATTTTTGTTAAAAAATAAAAATGATATTTTAGTGTGTGCACAATATATTTAATTCTTTCTCTAAATTATTTATTATAGACGAGATATGGTGCATTGTTTATCATAAAAATAGAGGACTGGATTCCAAACTGACAATAATGATAAATGCAGCTATTTCAATACTCGGCGAGACTCCACGAACTTCGAATGCTGTTATTGAAATAATTCAGTAATTATATGAGTCATAAATACTCGGATAATGTCCTACTTATTTTCATTTTAAGTAATTTACTCAACTTCCTTGCTTTTCCCACTGATTGTCAAAAATAATATTGGTTGTTATCTTTTGGATTGTTAAAATTTTTAACTAAATGAGATATAATTGGGGCGAACGTGCCAAGACTGTCACTTGCAAATTTTATGAAACTAAAAAAAAATATATTTTTCGATCCCGGTCAGAGGGAATCTGAGATTTAAGTAGAGAGGATAAAGCTTAAAATAGTAAATTGAGAGAAGAACTTGTGGGACACGTCATAGCTTAACACGTCATCGCATGCCTGCACGCCGGGATTGGGAGGTGCGACACGTCATCGCATGCCTGCACGGCAGGATTGGGAGGTGCTCCGTACAAACAGTGACCAGCAACCTAATCTGCCATCCTGATCATGATTAAGCTTCCTGCGTTACACTTTATCCGCAACTCTCGAGAGTAGCTCCCTGCGTGTACACTTGATCCGCAATATACGTTAATAAACGTGCTCCGTGCTACACATCTGTTTCCTTTATAGTTGGGCTATAGCTTAGCTGGCTAAACGCGCTCCGTGCTACACGTCTGTTTTCTTTATAGCTGAGCTATAGCTTAGCTGTTCTCTAGCTAGAGGTTGGAGAATCTGCCATAGAGATTTCTGATTCCTAGCTAGATGTTGGAGAATCTGCCATAGAAATTTCTGAGCCGGTAGCTAGATGTTTGAGAATCTGCCATGGAGATTTCTGAGTCGGTCTAGATGTAGGAGAATCTGCCAAAGAGATTTCTGAGTCAGGAGAATCTGCCATAGAGATTTCTAAGTCAGTCAGGCTTTACTTAGGGATAGAGATTTCTGAGTCAGTCAGGCTTTACTAAGGTAGCATTCCGCTACAAACTAATCAAATAGAAGAAGAGAGCGTTCGTTAGCACATATATACGTACTTAAGATACCTATTGACATAAAAACCGAAGAAAAACGCACATTATAATGATAAGCTTATAATTAAAATCGGCAAATAGGGAAAACCATGAAATAATTTCTAATTATTGGCAATTCCTCAGTTACGTTTACCATCTTCATGACTTTTGCGGTATTTACAAACCAGCTATCATGCTTTGGTACCACAA